CTACAGTATATCGACCTTTACATTTTAGGAACATAAAATACAACAATATTAAAAAGGTTATGAATGAGAGGAAGCTGTCTGACTTATCCAGTCCATCTTGTAGTTAGTAATCAATACAAAGATCTCATCCAGCTGCTTCTTCAGAAAAGCTAGGGTACTGGCTTTAATAGCACCGCTGAGTAATTTGTTCCATGCCAACACAACTGTTTGTGTAAAGAAGTGCCTCCGATCCTTGATTTTAAATGCCTTTCAATGAAGTTTACACTTGTGTCTATGCTCAAGACTGAAGAGATGTGAGCTTTTATCCTGTCAGCCAGAACATTCCACCAATCTCAGTAATGCATCTGATTAATTTTCTGATTACTTTTCTCTGGACTGATTCTTTTTTTAAAACATATTTATTCATTCTCTTTCGGAAATACATAAAACGCATTTCATAAGTCAATGCTATAATATGAGTGCGCTTTTTTCATTTAAATGTCTGTAAAACGTACAGATTTTTACTGCCATTGTTTTTAGATTTCCATCTTTTGTATTGTGCTGTGAGAACAAAATACCAGAAGAAAGCCCTCAGACTTTTAAATACGATCTGTTTTGTCCAAGCCTGTTTTGACACATGGAAGTTCTTAACTGACGTTTAGGAGGGAGAGACAAATATTAAGAATTGTTGTAAATCATAATTATTCTAGTCAACATTTCTCACAGCTATATACAGTTCCTGAAATGCAGATCTTTTATTTTTGTATTTTACCTCATGCTTCCCTCCTCCACCCCATCTTCACCTGTGCAGCTCCTCCTCAGCTCACTCCTGTCTGTATGGGGGTCCAGCACCTGCCCCAGGTCGTCCTGCGGCCAGGCCGGTGAAGGCAGATCTCTCCATACGCACCCCTCATTAAACATCCTCAAATGTGTCTCATCCTTGGGTGTCTTGTTCCTTGGGAACTGTCGACTGCTCTCGGTCAGACCAGAGGGTGAGGAGTTTACAGTGAAACCCTTTAGAAACTGTATGTTCTGCTACATTAGTTAAAAAGGGGAAGGTTAAAAAGAATGTTTACTTTTTCTTAATATATATAATTTGGAAGTTGAAATGCATTATTGCTGTGATTGTAAAGGGCAAATTGTTATGTCATTATGTCATTTTAAAGCAGGCCATTTTGTAATGTCCACAACTGCTTTTCCAGAGTTAAGTGGCCTAAATGAGCAGCATCCTTCTATGTTCATTCTCATCATTTGCTCGTAAGGTTCAGTGGATGTGTGGCTGTTTGTCAAGATCTGAATATTAGGGGAGAGTTATCAGATTCTTAATTTCATCAGCACACAAATGTGTCAACATCTGTGCCAACCTGAGGACTAATCTCATCATATTTAAGGAGCTAAGGGAGTATTGGGATGGAACAATTCCTCCTGGACCCTGCTCATCCCTTTCAACCAGAAATTCCAGACTAATCATCAAGTATGATGACAATGGACACTTTGCTATAGTAGGTTTTATCTCTGGGGAAACCCAAACTCTCTACTTCAAGACTTCATTTGATGGAGCAGGGATACCATTCTCTTTCTAAAGTCCTGTAAAGGGTTTCTCCTCTAGCCTATCAGAAATGACCATTCTAGTTTAATTTGCGCAGAAATTCTACATTTCTCCTCCTTATCTCTCGTGTGAATGGGTGCTGAATCAAAATAGCAGCTGGAAACCGCTCCTCAGATTAGTGCTTTGGGGAGACTTGCCAGATGAGACTTGCCATATATGTGCAAGGGGTTATTTATTGATTTATTGCTGGTGTTTCAAACCCTGACTGTGAAACGGCTCTGTGAAATTAAATGTTTAGTGCAGTCAAAGCTACTACTCCCCCTAGTGGTGTCTATGTGCAGAAATTGCCAGGGTTTGCAGAGTGGAAACCTATAAAATGCACATTTACTGAACAGAAAACAACACTAAGTTTTTTTGAGCATGCTAAGAACTTTAATAGATCAATATTGCTGAGAAACAACCAGATGCTTTCTCGATAAACCTAGCTTTATTTACATTATCATTTTTTTACATAAAAAGAAACTTTAAATAACTTCTGCTTAGCTACTTAAATAACAGTAATGAGAAACGTTTATGCTATTCACACAATGCTGTCTCAGCAGCCCAAATAAAAGCTTCACATTAAGTGCTAAACTTCCACAGAGTTTAATCTTACAGTATGAATTCAATCATGTATTAAACCAGGTATAGCTGATAGCATACATACGTATAAAAAACATGTAAAAAACAACTCTGCTTCAGTTTGAATTCTCATTAAGGAAATTTTAAACAGCATTATGATAAAAAATATTTTTTTGCAGTCTGTAAATTAAATTGGTCTTCCCAAGAAAAGTTGAATCACGCAAATCTTACATTATGGCCAAGTGAAATAACACTCAGTCCTATGGGAGCTGATAATGTAACAAACACATAGTACCACTAATTTTTACACCATCCAAGTTTTTCTTAAGATGAATGGTGGCAAAGTATTGATCTGGTTCTTCTAAATGACTTCATACTTTGAGGAATAAAGGCAAAGAAATTATATCTGAGCTTAACTCAACATTCAAGACTGAGGTTTACAACTTGAATGCAGTATAAATATGTCGTACTGGGTTAATAGTGCCTATTTCTGTTTCTAATCATTTCAATACAATTCCATCTTTCTGTACTGAAATATATAAATATACTTCACTATATACTTGTGAATGCTCCACAAGGTTTTAAAATGCTTTGCAGTGTGCTTGCTTTTAAATGCCGCAATTAATAAATGATATGACATTTAATTTAAAATTTAATCAGAAATTGCAGTTTGCTTAAAGAGTTGTAATGAAGTGCAATAAGAAAAGCAGTAAATCACAATCAGCTGACGGTGTTTATGGTTTGCATGGTGAAATGTGTGCCCAAAAACATACATTCTGGTCAAAGACGTGGCAGGGATCTGTTTACAGGGAAGTTAAAAACTCAGAACATAGATACAATGTATTATATGCTGCAAGTACATTCAAGATCGAACATGCTGTAATTACAGTTGAGAAGAGGTATATAATTCTAGCCTAGAAATGACTTTAAAAGTGTGGAAAAAATAAAGAAGCATGTAAAGAAAAAAAAACATTCAGTGGGCCTTCTGTAATGCCTCCTTACGGAAGATGGGAAGTTTTGTCACCTCAGAATCTATCCCTTTTCTTGTTGACAGATTTTAAGATCCAGAAATTCTGATATGAAAAATCCCTAAAGCACATTTATACTGGCTTAGGATTCATCTGCCTGTGGAAAAAAAGTCTGTTTCTTTACACTCCTGTTTATTATATAGAATGCTTTTTTTGAAATGTAAGAACATGTAAAAGAATAAAACCACAGATAGATCATAGAAAACTACTACTTTACCGGTTTGCCACTAAACATTTTTTGAAAATATGGTGAAAACGTCCCAAACCTAGTAAGCTTTTTAAAATTGATCCTAAGTAGCCCATTTTCTATATCTTGGTGTGCTCTGCTGACTAGAGGCTTTCATTGTAGTTATACATATACCATACACACGTGTCAAATATGGAAGATTTAAAAATAAAGTACAAAATAGTACAACTAATTCTTTAGTGATGCAGATGTACACAGCAAAGACAGAAGAGGTTAAAAGTGTCATACATTTCTTTGTACTCAGTGTTACACTATTCATGTCTTTAAGCATGCATTTCATTTACATTATGCATATTTCCTGAACGAATGAATTATACAGTTGAAAAAGGTCTCCTACATATTCTAAAAATACATTGTAAGTGAATAAAATAAAAAAAACAATGACTTTACAACTATCTGACCTCACTCACCTTTCATATATTAATACAACTTTTAAAATAAAAAGTCTATAAAATCATAAAGAATCTGCTTATTACTTTTAAGCTAGAAGTTTTTTTCCTCCTGTACTATGTGAAATAAACACCTTCTGATTTCTGTAAAAGAAGCTGAGCTGTTTGCTTTTAATGGTCAGTAAACAACTGGGAGAAGCAGATACAGGGCTTGAGCTCTTGAGCAGATTCCTGCTGGTGGGACTGTGAAAAGTAGACTTTTCTGAGTGCTGAAATGTCAAGCCAGTGCAGGTATTTAGTTTGTGTTAAGACCTTATTCAATATCAACATTACAGGATGCACATTAAAAGTATTTAAACTGGACATATGCAAATGGTTTGTATATTGTTTCATTTAAATGAGGTTCAACTGGGGAGCTAGAAAGGAACAAAGTTAATTCCACAATGGAAAGTACATAATGAAGAAACAATGTCCCAGCTGTTGAGATTTCATCAGCTAAAAGGACTCACAAGAGAAATTGTGTCTTTCTACATTTCAGCATGGATTGAACCTCTACTTTTTCCATTCCAATTAGATCTCTCAAATAATCTGTGAAATTTACGACAAATTGAGATCAACAGCATACAGTAGGTAGAACATTACTTTTTCAAAGCTTTTCTTAAGCACAGAAAAACAGCAGCTTTAAAAAAAACAACCTGTCTAAAATACAGCTTGGACAGTTTATTTTATACTAGGATGTTCTCTGAATTGATAGTGATATTTAAAAATAAAATCTTAACAAAATTAAGGCACCATCATGAAATCTGTTTAAGTTTTGATTTCCACTTATTTTTGCTGTACTTTTCTAATTTCGTCTCCTTGAAAATATTGTACTGTACTCTTAACATTCACAAAATTTCATTTGCTTGATATTCACATTTGATGTTACTCTCAGACAACTTCAAAAGAAGGAAAAAAATACTTTTTGGACCAAATACAAGTGGTTGCTAAAACACTTAGTAGTGTGTACCACAACACTGATACAATTATTTTATTTACCTGTTTAATTTTAACTTTAGTAGTCAAACATTTGATTTACTTGTATTTAAACATTTATCTCAGGCTGTAATTTATGTCAAGCCAAGGTGAGGGAATTTCACTGAGGTATGCCAGACATTTTTTTAAAAAAGAAAGAGAAAACATTTAAATGAAGTGGTTGCTTTTAGTTCTTTAATACGGAGACAGTGCCATCTCTGAAATGTCAGTAAACAATTTTTGTATTCAAGAACCCTGAAATTTAGCACGGAAGGCAGACATTCAAAGCCTTTTCAAGTTTTGCTATGAGTTTTTCTATGTCCTAAGGCACACTCAAAGTCAATAATTCTTCTGCTTTGATACGACTTGAATTTGGTATGGATGTCTGTAGTGAGAGCAGAGTCTTTCTGATGGAAGCCTTAAGAATTCATGGGAAAACCCAGAAAGGCTTCTTGTAGCCTTGCAATTATAGACGTGAGAAGTAAAAAGTTAACTTGTTTGATTTCTAATTAACTTTAAAAGGGCTGGGGCCCCCAGCATAATGAGTTTGTAGATTTCAATGCATTTTTTTTCATTTATGATCTCAGTAGGGGTGCAGAGCTAATAATAAGACCTCTACAGAGTTTATCTTAAAAGAACATTTTTTCCTTCAGTGTAAGAGTTAATAGACCACACTGAGAACTCTCTGAATTCCATTAAGACTTGTTGTCAACCAGTCCCACCAGAAAGAACTGCCATGAGATGAAAAAATGGCTTATAATTGAGTGCCTTCACTCTTAAACTGAAGGCACCCCAGTTTTTAAAGGAGGGGAGAAATGCAACAGTTTCATTGTTCCTGCTGCTTTCTGAGATCTGTTTTGTCAAGTCTGTTATGAGAATCAGAATGTACTGTAGCTTATCAACTGGTCCATCGTGGAGCCGAAAGTGAAAAAGGTGTCTGGCAGTCAAGATGAACTATTGAATCAATGAAAGAAAGATAAGACCGGGGTTTCTTCAAGCAGTCTGAGGAGAAGGAAACATGAAGTCCAATTAGCCTATACGATATAGCTAGTCAGGTCCAGCAGGTATGATGTCATGTCAATGATCTGGTCTAGGATTCCTTCTCTGGTTTCTTGTCCAGCGCTGTGATCTGTTTGCTCACACTGTGTTCCTGAGTAGCCTTTCTTACAGAAGCATTTGTTTGGCTTAATGCAGACGCCACCATGACGACACACTGGGTCACATTTGGCTGAAATAAATACACAAATAAAAAGTCAGATCAGTCAGATAATAATGAGCATGCTCATTATTAAATCTTATTTCCAAAATAAAACAAGATTTAATAATGATTTTAGCCTGATGTAAACAGCAAATTTAAATGCACATGGTGCTTTTTCCATACACTTATTTCTTCATTACCTTCTTCATTGCTCTTCCATCTGTATTTTTTTTTTTAAAGTGGACACCCAGTTCAATTAGATTTTCTATTCTCATTTCATCCTTTATTTAACCAGATATGTCACTAGAGAAATAAATCTCATTTACAGTGATGAACGTGCCAAGAAACTTATACCACTGAACAACACAGAACAATAAAAAGACAAGATCAGTTTAAAATGCAAGAAACGGAGTTAGCAGTTGGAAGCATTAATCTAGAAGGAGACATCTTCAGATACAAAGCTAGATAGTTTACTTTGTATTGCATTCCAGTTGTTTTCTGTGGGCAATTAAAAAATGTGCTCAGAGTTACTTGAAACAAGAGGCCTAGAGCTCAAACGCCAAAGTTTAACAGTTGAAAAGACTCACAATAAAACAGATAGGCCACAAAACATGCATATATCCCCAGTTTCTGTTCCTTATGGGTTTTTCTTGCAGTCTATAATGCCTCCAAGTATATATTTATTTAAAGATTTAGTCCCAATTTCTCAGATTGGTTATTAAATCTTGGTTAAAACCAGTCAATTAACGGTATCACAGCAGTTGTGAACTTTGTGAAAGTACTATATGGTTGCCAACCACTGGTCTCACGATTTGTGACATACAAACAGCCCTTCCCAGTCACTAGTCACTGTAAGCAAAAAAGAGAAATTTGGTCTCCAAACAGCCAAAACAGGAGTAAGGTTTTCTCAACTTGCATATATATTTTAAACAAAGCCTCACTGTCGAGCCTCATTGTAGATTTGGCGGTGCAGAACACAGTGATCACATACAAAACAGAGGACCAGATCAGCATAAAGTTAAAATGTTTCTTTTTCCAATGGATAGTCAACTAACAAAGATGGGTAACAAACATGGGCACTAAAGTCGGTTCAGCACAAATGAATAAGTACAGGTTGTGTTGCAGACATTTCATAGCAGAAATGTTCAAACATAATCTGCATGCAGAGTTAACAAGTAAGTATTTATCGGCAAAACCCATCTCAATGTCGATGTGTTAAATTAGATAAAGTATCTAAAAAACATCGCCTTGTATGTGTCAGTTTCATAACAGTATATACAAATATATAGTGACATCAGAGCTTTCTAGAAAAATCATAATTATGTTTAAGAACTAAAGCAAAGATGTACAATCAAATGAAAGACTAAAAGCGATATTTCTAATGGATTAAAAGAGATGTATTCACAAGCCCGCTTATTTCCAATATAATAGGGCCCGTTCATGTCACTGGATGTTTTGTTGCCTCACAGGCAATGATGTCAATATGGTGCTGCACACTTCTGGAAAATTCTTCTATTTTTGTAATGGAAATAGTATCGTGAACTTTGTACATTCAATGTGGTTTGAAATGAATTCATCAATGCCGATACAGTTCCCCTTTAACTACAACCTCGACACATTGACTGGAACTAGAGACAAGGCCCTATCTGAGATGTGCTTTGTCTTTCCTCTCGTCTTCTAATGGCCCAAATTCGGTTACTTCTTTTCCCTTTACTTTTGTGGGCAAGAGGTGTGAACACGCGTGGAATGATACTGTCGACTTAGTTGGTAAATTGTTACAGGTAATGTTGTAAGGCAATCACACATATGGAAAAAAAAGTCTGCTAACTTTTCTTTCCATTTAAAAAAATAGAAACAGAAGAATCCGCCTCAAGTAACAGGCTGCTCCTGAATCCACACACACACGCCTCACATAAAAAAGCCCAAAACAAGTTACGATCTGCAGCCATCAAAAAAAGTCTAGTGAACCTCCAAGTGGGCAGGCACCGGCAGCCCTGTGAAAGAAGCAGTGGGGTTTCCGATCTCACAGCTGTGCGATGGCACTTGGGACAGTCTCCTCTCCCTGCCCTAAAGGTAAATGGGCAGCTAATGTACGACTTCAAAAAGCCGGACTCACCCACTCTGCAGAAGTCCCCCTCCCAGCCTGGGTTGCAGCAGCACCTGCCTGTTGGGGTGCAGTGGCCGTTCTTGCAGAGGCGAGAGCACTCCGTGAGCAGCAGAGCGGGAGGGCGCGCCCGGCGCCTGCACTCTTCCGGGACCCGGGGCCTGGACACACAGAGGGAGCGGCGCAGGAGCTGCGTGAGCAGAGCTCTGGAGGCCCTCCAGCTCCTGGGCTGTTTCCAGCACGCGGCGCCTTGCTCAAGCCATTGAGCGTGCTCGGACTAACTAATGCAAAGCTCGCGCATAGAAATAGAGCGGAGATGTTGACACCTTTTCAACAAATAATTTTAATGCATGTTTTTTTTTTAACATGATTATACAGTTAAGGCTGACTAATCCAGATTTCTATTGTTCTTGTCTGCTTTGGAGGGGATACAAAGTGAGGTATTGTGCTTTGCATACTATCATTCTCAGAAGAATAATCTCCTAATAATTAGATTAGTATATGTCTAGGAGAATAATTTAGTGGGAGGTAAGAGTGAGATTGCTCTTGTAAAGTAAGAGCATAAAGAAATGTATGCCTAAATTGTACCTACAGCACAGATTCTTAAACACATCAGATGAAAACAGCCTGGAAGTGACACTGAGCACATTGTTTGCCTTTAAATTATCATTTTTTTCAGAATGAAAAAAAAAACACTGTTTTTGTGCGACACATTCTACTTAAGGAGTGGTGTATTTCCAATCTTATTGTCTTAATATTCGACTGCAAAACACCATGTAATGCCAAATGCTGTCAAAAACTGTCTGTGACAAAATGCTGTTTAAAACAATCAACCTTAGTCTTCCTTTAACAAATGCGGTGTCCTTACATTCTGTATTACTGATTAATAAAAAGAAACAACAAAAACTCTGAAATACTTTTGGCATTCACTGACATTGATTTTCAGGGGAATATTGAGTAATTCCACATCAGTGGTATAAAGCAGTGCTGCTGTCTTGAGAAGGCCTGAAAGTAATACAGAAAATAAATAGAATGTGTTCATAAAAGAACACATCTTTGCTGAGCTGTGTTTTTTTCTGCCACCAAAATACTAAAATACTTGAATTAATTCAGCACAAAAAAAAAACAAAAATCAAACAGTTAAGATATAATATTGTACAGTAAAAACAAAACAAAACTAAGCATTCTCATCCATTTGGTATTATACCAAATTGATGCCACATGAATTAAATGTGAAAAATAGTTACTCTTTGATATTTTTAACAGCTGAATAAACTCTTTAAAAATAACACTGTAGTACATTAATACATCCCACATAATGAAATGCAGTTCCTACCGGGCTATGTTCTTTTTTAAGTTGCTGAACTGTTAATGTATCCAGCAGGCACATACTGTAATTAGACTCCAGCTAATAGTAGCAATATGGGAAATGGAAAGTGAAGTGCTCTTAACAAGTTCACATCCTGTGTACATTACTGTGATAAATACATGGGAAAGTTGTGCTTGTGTACATACAAAAGCCTAGTGGTAGAGTGCAAAAGAACACTCTGGTTACACGATCTACTTGTAAACAATACTGACCACAGAGTATTTTATACACAGGGTCTCCAATATAGTTATTTCCACCTGAACTGTGGAAACATTTTTTAAACAAACCAAACAATAACATCACATTGATTTACTAAATGTTTTTTTTATGCTCAGATTGAATCGTTGCCTGGTATTTAAATAAATCATCTATATTCCAAACTATTTTGTTTCACACACACACATAACCCTCTCATTGCAAGGAAGTAATTTAGGTTAAATTACAGTTTATTGTTTATAATGAATGGTAATTTAAGTCCCGCAGTGTTATTACTGAGGTTAGGTAATTTTTATAATACCTGACGCTCGTTATGATTATCAAAAGATAACACATTAGTGTTCTCCTATGCATCTTAGCCTATTTCTAAAACTAACAGTACTTGAAAACCCAAACTCTTGATTATTTTAAAAGCAATCTATTTCTTTCTGACAAATTACCACTTTGGTGAAGATAAAAATAAACCCTGTGAATGTGTGCTGTTTCCACACAAGTCTGGCATCAGTATCTGAGGAGAAACCTGGATTTGGCTTTGAGCTGTTTCATTGCAGCCACACTGACTGGCCACATTGTAGGGATTTGTTCCCATGCTCTGCTCTGGCTTTCCACACATATGTGTTTTTTGGGGGGGATAAATACTTATTGCATTTGTTGGGGTAATGGGGTTTTGTCATGATAGGTAGTGCGGCATTAAAAAAAAGCAATGTCCCCAGAGAGTTCTTTAACAGTGTTAATAGCACAGAGGTCAACACAACTACTAAACAGTTTGCATTACTGTCAGGGTGGCCATGAAAACAACACCTGCTGTAAGACTACTTGACAAAGCAGCTGGGTCAACAGGCACTGTGGGAATTTATCAACTTTGGGGGGCCACTTGCATAAAACACAGACTGATAAATTAAAGGAGGGCTGGCTGATTAGGTTAAGACTGTCCTGTGCATGGCTCTTTTGGAAATGAATAGGAGAGAAAGAAATCAGCTGCTTTCATGCTGGAATGCATAAAAAACTATTGTTCTAGTCAGGAGACACTTCAGCAATGTGCACACACAGCCTCATGGTGCCCACAAGGGAAAACTGCAACTTAAAGCTATATAAATGGCATGAAGACACCAGGTCATTTTCAGAAAACAAATAGCTTATTTATCAGACATTTAGGTCTATGCCAATGTTTTCATCAGTTGGCTGAATGTTTTCATCAGTTGGCTGAATGTTTTCATTAATTCTTTGTACGTGTCTAGAAAAACTAACAAATAAATAACAACAAAAAATAACTTAGTGCACTACTGTAAGATGAGTATATAAATGAGGAAAATTATTGCAATATTTGATTTTTTTTTTTAGAAGCAAACACCTTTCAAAATCACTTTTGACACATTTAGAAGGCTTTTCTTATGTGGGGAGGGGGGAATTAGTATTAATAAAGCTCATTGCATTTTTAATATAGCAGTGTATAGCGCTGGGGCCCTGGGGTGCTGTCTGCGTGTCTGTGTGTTCTCACTGTGTTTGTGTGAGTTTATTCTGGGAGCTTCAGTTTCCTCCCACAGTCCAATGCTGGCAGGTTAATGGTCTTCTGGGAAAACTGGCCCTGTTGTGAGTGTGTGCATGTCTCGTTTCTGTCCCTGTGTGTGTGCCCTATAATGGACTGGTGTCCATCACACCGTTTTATCCAATTCAGGGTCACAGGGGAGCTGGAGCCTGTCCCAGCCTTGAGCCTGCTGCTTGCTGGGATAGGCTCCCCCGTGACCCTGAATTGGATTAAACGGTTAGAAAATGGATGGATGGGTGTAAAGTTGAGGCTTTTTTCTTTTTTTTGTTATCTAGTTCTATTGTTAAAGCCTTTCAATGGTTTCTTCCATTGTGTAAATTGTACAAAATAATTTACTGCGTATTGTTGCTCTAGGCCAATCAGATGCTTAGGCCAATCTTGCTGTTGAGCTCTGTGAGACATGCACAGCAGTGCTCATCTTCTCCTTAACAACTTTGGTGACCCTCAGAAATAAGAGGTTTTTGGTGATTAATTAGGGTTGTAGTTTCATGGTGTCAAGACTCAAGAACCCTGGACAATGTCATTTCCTCCTTCTGTAACTAATGTGTAATATAATATGGTCCATTGAATGTTGGGAAAAGTTTTAGTCTCTTCTGAAATTCCTGTAACCACATGCTTTCAATAAGTCGGTGGGCAAATAAGCTTGAGTAAATGAAAAATATATATATATATATTCTTGTGGATACGCACATTTTAACCACAGCTGCAATCTAAAGCACATACACTATACTGGCTTTACACTATCAGCTACCAATCCTGTCTGACCCAAATAACATTCTTTCAAACTATTTTTTATTAGTTAATGTCTATATTATATGTATGTCTTGATGATTTTTACAGATAATATCAAAGTGATAGAAAAAAATAATTTCCTATAAACTCACATAAGATACTCATAATCTCTGATTTAGTCCCAGGTTACAGTATATAATTAAGTACTCTGCTGAAATCTGCACTTGTGTTTTATTATTTAAAGCTTATTCTGTTACGTAAGGTTTTAATGTGGAATATGGTAGTCAGTACTGTCTTTGCCACTTTGTTTCTCATCAAGCCTAAATTAAAAGCTTTCCCTTTCCTTTCTGAGATTCAGCTTCAATGCTAGGAATGAATAAAAACTGTTAATGACCATAGCTCACAGGGGAATCACGACTGCGTGTGGCAAAGCAATTGAGATAAGGAATTTTCAATGAAGCATTCAGTGTCTTAATCAGACATTACATTGGTTTAATTATAGGAAAACACTACAATCCACTTTTAAAGCTTCAGAAAATGTTTTAGCTCCATATGAAATGGGCATAACTAAACAGTGCTTTAAGGCATTTAAAATATTTTAATTGCTTTTCCCAGTCAACGGTCAACATTTTTATACACATGGGATGTAGATCCATATATTTTTGAAACATGGCGGCCTATTTATATTCTACTTTACTCTGCTGACAAACAAATAAGTACGAATCAAGTTGGTTATGTGGGGAAATGTTTACTGAAATGTCCCAGAAGTTTTAAGTCATTTTTTCTCTCTCTGCGTGCACCCAGATAGTTATGATCAAAACATTATGTGCATGTTAGCTTCCAATCACCCCCAAACACGCAACACACAAACATGTAAAGGCTCCATTGGGAGGTCCAGTGTTCCAGGTATATCACTACAAGACCACCCTACTTGATCAGGCAACGTGAACACAAAGCCAAGGTCAGGCAAGTGAGCCCCCTTGTAATTAAATACTAATAATGGGTTTGATGTGTAAAATTAACTCAGACCCACAGACCAACAGACTAAACAACCCAATAGATGGTGGAAAGAATTGTTCTTTGGAAAATGTTGCAATGCCAGAAAACATAAATAAAAAGTAGCACAACGGCCTTGACTGGGAACTGCAGAAACATCTGCGCTCTAATTAATTGCATTAGACTTGGGTGGCACTGTCATCACCTAGAAATAATTAGCAAGGGATCAATTTCTATTGTAATTTACACAAAAAAACTTCCAAGACACTTTAACCCCAAAAGGGTAGATTCACTTTTGGGAACTTTAGAAAACAGCTTTTCCTCATTTAGTTCAGCTTTGTGGATTCAGTTAAGTTCATTGATATGGTGAATGCCTTCAGCATTAGTAAATTCTTAATTTGTTCTTTCACCCCACTGGATGAAAAGAGAAAATGAATCACTACTGTACACTTACGGAATTCATATCCATTGTGCTTTTTTATAAAATCAAAGAGTGACTTTTTAAAATTATGCTAGTACTTAATTGTTGAATGACAATTTGGAGTATAGACCTTGTAAATGTTCTCTGACTGCATCTACAGTGAAATGGCCTGTCATACCACGTGCCTGTGTTACTCAGATGAGTGAATTTAAAGTCTGATCAGCCTTCACCCATGAATTGCACCAAATAATAATGTAATTTATTGTGATGTAATAGAATCACAAAATGCTGATGTTTTTGTGTTAGCCTTAGCATGGATAATGTATCTGGAATCATTTCAGTTCCAATATATGCTTGTTTCTTGAGAGTTTAGAAAATAATGAAACTACATACATCATAAATTACATACAGTGGGTATGTATATATGGAAAGCCCAACAATTTTGAGTCCAGTTTAGTTGGCAATAGTCAAGGACTGAACCTGTGGCTAATTAACTGTACTTATTTGTATTGGCCTTACTGGGTAAGATACTTAGTGTAGGATGTTTTACAATAAATCAATATTCAATGTGCATGACCGGAACATCTGTCTGATTCTGTGACTCGAAAACAAACTGGTGTGATAGAAGGAAGCCTTTTCTTAGGGATCTGTGTCATATGAAGCAGAAAATGTTGAGGAAGTAAACACTATACGTACATTTTTTATAATTCATATTTCTCGCCTTCAACTGTTTTCAATTCTCTCTGCTGTTTTCCATTATGAAGCCAATGAAACACAAGTGTTGGTGGACATTGTTGGCTCTGTTCCTAGCACACACAAGACCACAGTCTCCAAGGCAGTACAGTACAATGGTAAACTTACCTTTTAGGGTCGACCAGTTTGTAAAGCTTCCCACTGTGTGACTGGGTCATACTTTTGCTGCTTGCCAGAATATATACCTCACCTGTGTGAGAGAACAGAAACATGAGTCAGCTTTCATTTGCTAGACAATTTCAAAATAATAGAGATGCACTACAGGACTCCTGGTTTGTGTCTATGGCTCTTATGGGATAGGCCGTGGCATGGCAGTAGCGTATGAAAAGAATAGCAAGACTATGCAGTAGCTGCAGTACAGCACTTGAAGGCAAAAAAAAAATTGTAAACACATGTTATTTGCCAAAAAAATCAGATTATCTCCCACTAGCAAATTCTGAACAAATGTTAGCTAGATCATTGAAACAAAGATCTGGCCAGAGTGAGAATTTTCCTCGCCTCCAAATTCTATTAAGCCCTAAGTCATTTGCTCAACATACTTTGAAAATCAAGTATTACATGGCTGTAATTAGTCAGTGAGGTCTTAGAACGAACAAGTTATATGCAGCTGGTGTGGTTAGATTCATGTGTTATTCCTTCAGACAGTGGCCAATTATCTTCAGCAGATACAGATGCTCTGATTGTCCGCTTTCTAAAGCTTTTAAAGTTCTGCCAAGGATTGACAAGCAATTCTAATACCTAATCTTATCCCTCTGTATCTATGTATAAAAAGAAACAGTAACTCATTGTATATAGTTACAAAACAGGGAGATCAGCAGGAGAACAGACTGGTTCCAGCTTGGGAGTTTGGAACAAGCTACCAACACTGACTTCACTTTTCAAGCAGTGTCTGGATGACATCCTTGGATCATTTAGCTACTGGCACCCAAATAATCATGGTCTGCGTGGCCATGTTTCGCAAACTTTCTTATATTCTTAAGAAATAGTGGAATCACTAGTCTAAGGTAAAAATGACACCTCACCATCTTTTGTGTAATGACATGTTCTCAGCTCTCAGTTTTAAATACACTTCCTTTAGTTATCCCATCTTGTCCTTTGTTTCATGTGTCAGCCCCGTCTATTGAGTTGATTTTGTCAATGGCTTTGAGGTTTTTGAAATATTGGATCATGTCCCCTAGTCGCCTTCTCTATTCAAGACTAAAATGGTTTAGTTTCCTTAGATTTTTCATAAACTGATTCTTCAATGTCAGCATTTTCAATCCTATATTTATAGTTTATATTTTTGCTTTTTGAACGTTACACTGCACACACCTTTCTGGTATTTTCCAAGTCTGCAATTTTGTTGAAATATTTTGTAATTTAATCTGCAGCTTCTAAAGAGCTTAGTTATCCTTCTAATTTGATATCAATTGCAAACTTTGATTAGTTTACTAACTATACTATAATCTAAAAGGGTGATATAAATTAGGAAGAGCAGAGGTCTTAGTACAGATCCTTGGGGTACTACATTGATTACATTAATTCAATTTGTTCATTCTTCTCCTAACTATACTCTCCATATTTTATTAGCAAGTTCTTTATGTATTTTCTTGAATGCTTACCACCTACAAGTTGTGAATTAATTTTTAGGAGAAACACCTAAAAGGTTTCTGAAAATCCCCATATGCCACGTCACATCCCCTGACTGCATGCATTACTGCAGTTGCATGTTCAAAGAATCCAACAAATTAAGTAAACAAGAACTACCTTTTTCTAAATCCATTTTGTCTGCAATCTTAAATATATCAGCACAACAGTTTATATTAACAACTTTAATAACAATGCCTTGAGTACAAACTAAAATAAAAATATTTAAATTCTACATTAAAAATTAGATTAAATTACAAAACACTTAAAACAACCTAAACAGAAGACACATAGGTGAGTCCTTTGCCTTGGTTGGAAATTGTCTTGATGTGTTCTTTAGGAAAGTCACAGAATAGTACTGGGTGCGATATTTAAAGCTTTAATAGCTCATAGAAAATACATTGGAGATCAGATATCATTTTTTTTTCACTTGCAGGCAAGTTCTCGGATGCTGGCACAGAGAAATTAATCTTAATTGGGCAACGCCTTGAATCTCAGATTTAACCCTTTTAAATAGTCTAAATAAAGAAAAGAATACCAAAGGGAAAATTTAATACTTCTCATAATAGTGAGTTTGTTCTATAATTACATTCCTTTACAATGAAATAATTGTACAGTAACTTGAAAACCATAGGGGGATCTTAAACCATTCTCAAAAATTCTCAAAATGATTCATGTTGTTTATGGCTATTACACATTCTAAAATATGAATACCTTCCAATATTTCTCCATCAATCACTTTCACATTCAAAAAAGTTTAAATTCTGCCCAGGAATTTGTTTAGAAATATGACATCACCAATTAAAATGACACTTACTTTATTTGTTATTTTGTATTCAAATAAATCAAGTTTTAAGCATAAAACAAATCAAACAAATGTGCAAATATAATCAAAGCTGAAATAATTGAAAGGCAATGGTATCATAGAGAAAACAGTATATTGTATGTTCATAGGACAAACTGAAGAAAATTTCAGGAAAACATGATAAATTCTAAACATCTAAATTCATTATATCTATTTACTCCAGATACAGTACATTGTGTATATTGCATATTTGGCTGATTATATCACAAAAACAACCAAGTTTTTCTGAAATTCCTAAGTACATTGGAAATTCATTTTGTGCTCACCACAAAGACTTTGTAATTGATTTATAGGGAATGACCTGCCATCCTCAGTCACCTGACCAACCGGGTCAAGGAGAAAACAATTGGTTGACTTGCAGTTTAAAAACCAGGAAGCAGTGGCTTCCAAGGTTGTCTGATTTGCTGTCTGTGAACATAGGGCATATATTGTGTGGTGAGAGAATTCTGAGTCCTGTATTTGTGAGTTGTTTGGAAATCTACCAGTTAAAGCAGTTAAGCTGCCTGTAATAGTTAGGATAGTGAGTGAATTTGGAAGAATTTGAAGAAGTTCAAAGAGCTGTTTAGAGTTTGACTGATTTTTGTTTTTTAATTTTTTTGAGCTGTAAATGAAAGGGCACTAACTCTTTACCTTACTGCTGTTTTGTGTGTGTTTCACCTGGACCAGCCAATGAACATTCCTGTTTTATGACATCCAGCCCAGGGTGTGTCACAGTGACATAAATCTTAAGTTTAAAGTTCTTGTCTTTGAAGAGCAGAGTGACACAGAGCTAAGACCATGCTTACCTAACTCGTCTTCTCCAAATCCCAGGATGTGACCCACGAGAGAGCTGCCACAGGAGCTGCTGCTGCCAAAGCACAGGGTCTTCTCCTGCCAGTCCTGGCCCACTGAGGATCTCTGGAGGATTCGGAAGCTCCTGTACAAACACCCGATAAATCCCTGCTGTCAACGAGTGTATTATAGTCCATTCATTCGTTTATGATGTCACAAGACAACAACAAACCTGGCACTTCAGTTGATGAAAAACTGTCAAGTAATCTCTCACGGTTTATAAACTCCAGTGCAGTATTTATTTTTGAACACAAAGGTTTTTAATCTTCATCAATTTTTTCTAAGCTGTGCTTAAGTGAACAAATCTCCATTTACATATAAATATTGATCGTCATTTACATATAGTGTATATATAAATATGGTTTTATGCATATGTACTTTATGTTCAAGAAATAATTTATCTTGCTCTGAAGAGAAACTATGGAAAACCATACTCAATGTTGCAATATCGTAGCAACGAAATTCTCCATACTACAGTATATAGAACATGTAACCTAGAGGACTCTGTAAAAGTAGCTATCCAACAGTGGTGTTATTCTAACTGACCCTAGCATGACACAGACCTCAGAATTAAGGGTATGAGAAAATGAAGCTGTTTTTCAGGTCTACATTTTATTTTATTTTTTTTTTAAAATACGATTTAGATTTTCTTTTTTTTTCTCAATAAGAAACACAGAGAAATCGAATGACTTTATACCATAATACATAATAGTTAATAGTTAATACCAACACCATAAAATTTACTATGTGCAATAATAAAAAGGCAAAAAATAAATATATAAATAAAAAATAAACATGAAATGTATCTCCAAATCATAGAACGGGAAACTATTTAATACTGTTAACACTAAAATAAAATAAAAATATACAACCTCTCTTTTCTTATTTCTTATCCTAGTGTGGCATAATATCTGCAAAATATTTGCTTCTTTTAGGCCAACCTTCCTAATTACAATCTAGTTTTTAAATCTATTGCCATGAGTTTAGTATTCAGTAAAATTAGACTTTAATGCACATTGAAATTCTTAGATCAATTAACTGAAAACCAAACCTTATTAAGACACTTTGCTAAGTTGAATTGTCTTACAAAATGTGGATTCTATGCAGCACTTGGAGAACAACTGAATGTAGGTTCAATATACTGATGAAACATCGGTGATTCAATTTATAACTATATCTGTAAATGCATATGATTTGGTTGCTCAATGCATTATCAGAACTAAATACTGGGTGATGTTGAAGTGATAATGCCTTCCTTTGCAAATCATCACACACTTACCCATTTCTGTCCCCAAAGACAAAACTCCCATACAGCCTTCTTGATTGGCAGCCTCTATATATAAACCCACCAACTGGGGGTCCACTACTGGTTAATTTTAAATCGAAGAGTGAGGGCTCGTTTTCTGTAAAAGAAGTGGAACAGACTGCTGATATTATCTAAGTTTGAAAGATTATTTTTTTCAATGTAAATGTGACCTTGTGTTCTCTTTAAGAGCACAGAAGGGTAACTGTAGACAGTTTTGCTTTTCTGGAGACTTGAGTACCCTTAACGTTGTTAGGAATGGTGTTATCTATGATCTTTATTGAAATATTTAACATCCATAATTCTGATGATGAAACTGAAATTCTACAATAAAATGGCAAAATGTAATGTCCAACCTGTAAATGATTCAATAGAAAATATGAACTTAACAATCATTTTCTTACAACACAACAAAAGTGGGGAGTTTTTGAATTATTATCATAGTCTCCTTCTAACATGGAAAACCTTAAACATAAAATTTAGGTATTGCAGAAAAAAACATTACACGTCTTTTAGAACATATAGCAAGAACATATGCAAAATTAGGCACCATAACCAAATTAATATACCCTGGATAAGTATTTCAATTCTATTGAAGGCACTCAACCAGCCCTCTCTTTTTTAGTCCAAACTGATTCCTGATATATCTGGAGTCAATCTTCAACACAAAGGATATAAAGCTGTCTTTTATAGACACAAGGGTTATTGAATAAGTTTGTTGTGGGTTTCTGCATAAGCAATGGTTGTATATTAAAACCAGTCCCAGAACTTAAAACATGCACATCTGCATAGAGATTTAACAAAAGCCAAGACTGCATTTATAGCAGACCAACTTAAAAGGACACCATGCCTGATTTTACTTAGCTTAGTCCCCAAAATGTGGCTGCTATAATTCAGTGCAGGTCACATACTTCCAATAGTAATGTAGTACAGACTTCACTTAATGAACCACATGGAGTGGCTAGCGATAAGCTCTTCTGAGGTTTAACGCTTTGATTAATTTTGCGCTGCGCATTAATTTGTCTGAAGCCTCTGGAATATGTGAAAAACACATAAAGGGAAATCAGATGAATATGAACAAATCACTCCTTCTTTTGTAAAACATTGTGGACATGTACATAGTTTGTATAGGCCTCAGTTAACAGGTTCTTTATCCCAGCACAAACACGGTAGGGCAGTATGGGGACCCCTGAGGCAAATAAGGAGGATACAAAAAGTAACAGAAAGAATTACAGTCAGATCTGGTTGTAAGTAAAAGGGATGCATTATTCTGCTTCCCTCAATGCCTTGGAAGAGATGATTCAATCCTGAAAATCTTTGACAGGACAACCTTCAACTTTGGACAAGTGTCAGACCCAAACCTATAAGGAATCTAATATAACTTATATAGTGTTTTTAGCTATTCAGTACTTAAATATTTAATTTGGGATAAGATATAAAACGGTCATTCCTGAAAGGGAGATATTCAGTCATATATATATATATGAAGTCAGCTAATTTGGCCTCATTATCTTAAAGGGACACGCAACAAAAATACTGTAACGTTCCCCATAATTTGGCCCAATCTGTGGTTTGTCTGGGAGAGGCCCAGACAGAATAGCAAGGGAAGTGGTTTTCATTATAGCTGAGGGGTGTAGAGTCGTTTCTGTTGGGAAGCTCAGATAGCACTCCCTGTGTGGAGCCAGTGTTTTTTTTTTTCGTAATTAGAGCCCAGAAGTAGACAACAAAAACCTGAGAACAATTTTTGTTTCCAGAGGAAGCACCATTGTTCTGACAATAAACTATTTAATGATATTGGTTTCACTTTTTCAGCAATATCTTACAGGTATATGGTTTTATCCATTTGCTCCTGTAACAGAGCCAAAGCTTTGTCTTTAATGCTCATTAATACATAGATTATTTATATTGCATACCAGACTGACACACCAGACTGTCTTTTATTAAAGTGTCTCTGCTGAAATTACAGAATTGCAGAGATACGGATTAATTAGGTGACACATTTTTTAAATTTAACTTCTTTTCAGTTCATAAACATTTTCCTGTGGCTGTAAAACATGATATAAAGTGATATCTGGAGAGGTTCACTAGGAAGTCATTATGCACCTAGTTACAGATGGTTATTGAGACATACTGTAAAGTAAATTCTACAAATCTAAGATTGTAAAATTAAATTATCATGTAGAACATCAAATACAAACAAATTTACAGTTTGGTAGCAGTTAATTACTTGTGGCAGTGCATGAGAAAACAAATGACTTTTAAAAATCAAGTCAGATGATCTTTTGTGAGATTAAAAAATGTAACTATACATTTTACATTATTTTATACACTAACATTTATTTGCTTTATTTAATTGTATTAAAGAAAATTAATCATTGGATCATTTTCAGTTAGCAATAAAAACAAATGAATGTAGAAACCTTGTAGTCTTGAGTACTCAGTTTAGGAACCAGATTGTCCTGGGTACTCAGCTGAGGAACCTGATTGTCTTGGGTACTTAGACATAATTAGACTGACATGCTGCAGTTTACTTTACTGATTAAAAACAAAAAATAAGTCATATGTGTAATGTAATTTTAGATCTTAAACATCCGTGGATGTCATATGTTTATTTATCCTATGTTTACTTAAAAATCAAATTCATTTTCACTTTGCAATTGATTTAAGAAAATACTGAATCAATAAATCTCACAATTCTGACTGTAACCACAAAAAATGTGTTCATCTTTCAGAACTTACCATAATCTTTACCCTTCAACATCTGCAGTATTCTGCCTGAGGAGGAGTTTCTGCTACTGGAATCAGTACAAAGAATCAGAAGACTCCCATTCGTGTCTTGGTGATGCTGATCCACTGCACACCTGAAATACATGTAAAAACATACACTGTGAGAAATTTAGGTCATTATTGGCACAATACATTTGAATGAGAAGAGATTTGTTTTGGAACACACTGTGGTCACTATGTAATGGCCCTGACATCTTTGGACCTTACCAAGGGATTTTTTTTCAGAATTTACTGGCAATTATGACTCATTGGTAAAGGAACATTTTTAGATTGTTTTCATTGGTGTCTTGTGAAATACCTTTTGCCTCAGGTCCAACAACACCAGCATGGAGTAGTTTAAATCTGAAAGCAGTCAGGGTACAGTTGGAGAATGAATGGAATTATTACATGATCTGTTAGTTACACAGAAAAAAACCCAGAGCTAATCCAGTTCTCTTCATTCAAAGACTGTAGAAGAATTGCAGGGGATTGAATGTGTTGCTGCTCTTATGTATCTAACAATGTTTGATATCTACCTCCACAGTTAACAAACACCTCACCCACCCCTTAAATGACAACATTTATTAAACATTTTAGCATGTACCCACTTACCTGCCTGGGTTATGCAGTCCATGTGCAAAAATTTCAGGTGGCTGGTTAGTGCTGTTGAAGTAGGGATTGTTTCTTGGAATGGAATACGGAGCATTGCAGCAATCTGTGTCGACATCAAGCCGAAGAACTGAGCCTGTGAAATCACTAAAAAGACAGCACATGTTTTAGGGAAACAACGTGATATGAGAAGATTATTTAGTCTGAGATATTTACAGTGGTGTGCGAAAAAGATTTAAATTTATCATAATGCTGAAGAAAAACTCTAAAGCTGGAGACTAACTTCTTTAAACAATTTAATAATATCTTCTAATCAGAAATTGACATTACTTTGTGACATCTTTCTAGGATATACTGTAACTAAGTTTTTTTAGGACTTTCACTAAGATAAAGTTGTGGACGCTTAATACACCCTTTGCAAATGACAGGAAAAGGTCATTTTGAAATTTTGAAGCATTATAATAAATAGAATCTTAATTGGAAATATATTTTGTAATCTAGATTGAAGCTATAAGGTAATTTGCACTGAAGAAAGTTTTGCTGTGTTGGTTTAGTAAGTAGCAAAGATATTTCACATTAGTCTATCATGTCTTAATTTGTTTTACATCTTTAATTTTAAGTGAATTTGAATTTTCTTGCCCTGTGTGAGTTATATTAGACACGTGATGGTCCAGTTTATGGCTGCAGACTCCAGACACATTGAAGATGCATTGAAGCTCACCACAGTGAAGCAATAGCATCTTGACTCATGCCAGTATCTCGTCATTTTACCTTAACCCATCCATCTCCTCCATGTCATCTAGTGTGATCATCCCATCACCTAGGAAAATATGCAGGAAGCCATCAGGCCCAAAGAGCAGCTGCCCTCCCAGGTGCTTTCTGTGCAGTTCTGCTACTTCTATCAATGTTCTCACTGTCCTGGGGTCCACCTGGTTGGGGTTTTTCCTGAAACAGCCCAGTGGAAAGACAAACATCGAACTCAGCACACAAAACTCCTGGAAAAACCACAGCATTCTCATTAAATGTAATTTGTTTTCTCAAAAGCAACATTTCTAACTGCTTTTGTAATTGTAGAAAGATAATCCAGGCTCCTGGAATTGTGCGCTAACCTTATTATTTTTTCTTTCAATACATTTTCTAAAGCAAACAAAGGAAAGATGAATAATTGATACTCATCACAAGAGTATTCCATGGGGGAAAAAGCTGGGAAAAAAACACAAACTAAAGGAGGATGGTAAAAAGTCTGTTCTTTCTGAATTCCAACGAAAAATGTGGAAACACTGCCACTGCTTACTTAAGATAGCCCGCAGGTAACAACAAGGGCTCTAAACCAATTAATTTCTTCTGCTTGATAATTAATGTGGCATTTGAAGGTTAGGCCTTTCCAGAACCTGAGGGAAGAGACTGATAAGAAAACCACCATCATTGCATGAGTAAGGACCAACGTTTAATAAAGTGATAGGCCAGTATACATATTCTAAAAACCGCATATTATTTAACTTACCCACCCAAATGTTACACCCACAAGGTAATGCATTAATTGCCCTAAATGTAATATTTCAATTTAGTGTAATTATTTGATCTTATTTCCTAACCACATTGCCAGACTGCCTAAAGCAGTATTTTACTATAATAAGCAAGTAAAGTTAATAAATAATAATTTAGAAAAACAGAATAATACAGAATTGTTTGGAAACAATATTCTGAATTGTAATATTTTCATGATAATAGAAAAGAGCATCACCAACACCTTAAAGAAATAAAGTAGAAAACCCTACTGAAAACAATACGGTGATAATATGTAAAAAGAACAAGACTGTCGGTGAACAGGTTTTATAAAGAATGTGCCAATTCTACAAAACCAAATCAACTAAGAAGGGAGCTCATTAAAAACAAGAAAAGGTGTTGTATTTTCCTATTATATCTATCTCATATCTCTAAAGATGAATTGTTTTAAATCTAGTAAAAAGTACTGTTTTAGGAATGGTGTGACAGCACTTTGGAAGGCCAGTTTTTAGTTTGATAAAGCAAATACACACATGTATCCTTGTGGAAGCATTAGTTTCACCACCTGCGGTGACTTTTTGCTTGCTGTCTAGTACCTGGATACTGTATATTCCACCACTCGAAGAATGTGGTCGTGTGGTCCGATGGCCCACCGCTCTTGGTTGGTGGTATACGAGACGTAGAGCTTTCCATTTTTCTTGTAATTGGGATGGAATGCAAGGCTTAAAAGTCCCCTTTCATCTCCTCCCTGCAGTCAAACGAAATCACAAAGAATGGTGAAGTTAATTATGTTCTTCACTGTGTTGCGACTTGAAGCAAAGAGAGCCCTTCTCCTGCTTGCTTTTTCTCCCTCTCTCTCCCTGTTACCCTGTGGATAATCTGTGCCTTAACTTTCCTTTTCTTTTCTCTCCTTGACTACTGCATAAAAAATGATTATAAAACATTTTACTTCAGGCAGCTCTGCCTCATGGCCACAGTGCACGCAGCTGTCTTGAGAGCTTATCTATGAGCAGGCCCTCTTACAGCCCCATTGTGAAGTGATTTGTGCACATAATCTTTGGAGGCATCCATGAATACTGGTTTAAGTGCCGAAAAGAATTTATTAGGTTGCTTGTAGTTCATAGAAGACACAAAAGTTCAGGATCTTCAGTCACTTTTAATCCGTACAGAAACCAAAAAAACCTAAAACATGGAGTTAGCTGCCAACTCCCACTGTCTTGGCAACATGTTTAGAAAACAGTTAAATTGCTTGTGTAATACGTAAACCTTTGTTTTACCCTGGAGGCAACTACATCAGTTGTCACTACTCTGGTGGTCTTTTCATCATAGTTAGCTTTAATAAGCAGCTACATCATTTCTGTCTCTGGGCAAGGCAATCATGCTCTTTTTTTAAAAAAAAAGAAAGGAATGAACAGAACGTTAGGCGTTTATGCTAAGAATGTTTGCAACGTACTCCTGAGGCCCTTGTTTTAGTTTAAGTTTATCGCATTCAGACCACCATCCCCCTCCTCAAAACCCCATCCCCCCCCCCAACTCCTCAGTCTGTATAAGGAAAGGGTAAGGATTAAAAACAAAACGAAATAAAACAAAACTTGAGATCTGTTATGAAATGGAGCTAACAGTCTCCTGCAGTGATAACACCCTGAATGAATTAGTCTGTTCTGTTGTCATACCACACTGGCTGAAAGCCTTTTCACTTTTCCACCCTTGCGGCATATGGTTAGACAGAATCTGCAGAGAGCTTGATAGTAAAACTGAATGAACCTGACATAATGGAAAGGCCAAAAAAGCGCAGCTAGATTTTGTGGAAAAGACGAAGGGCCATAATGCAGGTCAGGGAGTATGGATTTAGGGACAGATATGCTTGAACACAGAAGATCATTGATGGCTAAAAGAAACCTCATGCCAAAATTTTCTGAAACAAATGGTACTCAGCATGTCTGACTACATCTTTTAGGCTTTTATTCAGCGGAATAATATGTTTTGTTCATTGGCCCTTTATTTCTAAGCCATACTGTACCTTTCAGTTTTATTAATAAGAAGACTGAGGTGAGGACATTTTACTGCTGCTTTTCACCTTCATTTTTATTTCACCCTTATATTAATCTTCAGATTCAATAGCCTGGAAATCAAAATAGACTTTGGAGAAAAGTATCAGGCAAGGTCTTCCAAGGAGTATTTCACATTTTACTTCAAGACCACCAAGAAACAATCGTAAATGCACTGAAATATTAGCTTTTGCTAATGATCCTTCCCACAGTGTAATGAAGAAGGCAGGCTACAGCTAATAAACTTAAGAAGTAAATTCTGCAATCATTTTCAATCAGACCCAGAAGGATACAGCACGCACACATAAATTCATTTCTTGGTGTTGCACATTTGTTCCATACTGAAACTTCTTCGTAATGATCTGACAATGGCAAATAAATCAAGCACTCAATTTATGATCCTTAAATGAATTAGGTTTCTCCACAAGTTGTAAGGAGCTGATTTTACCATGCAAGTCATTTTACAAGATTTAGTTTTTTATTTAAGTTATGTGCTGGATAAAATAATTATTACAACAAAATGGTCACTGCTGACCTTTCTGTATCGCACGCCATTAGTCAGTATAGAAGTACAGCACACTGGTATACTGGACGCTGATACTTGTTATACTTTAATTATTTAAAACTCAGTAGCACCAGGCCCTTTTAGCTGAGCTGAATTTAGGTAGGTGTGATACACAAGAGCCCCAGAGTTCCTGCAATCCAGCTGGATTGTTCAGTATAACGCAATAAAATATGAGATTTGTGAGTGAAATCGCTGCATATTTCTCTTGAGGACCGCTGTCACTTTCATCTGTTCTGCAAGTACCTGGTGCACAACTTTCCACTATTATCACTCAGAGGACTTCCAATGCAGGATAAGGGGCAGGAAAGTGCTGTGATGTACCTCCTCATAATTTGTTGTGAAAGTGAAATAAAGTTCTAAAGATGAAATATTGTTGAATAGTTGAATAACTGTTGAAAAAATGTTTTTGTTTTGATCACTCTTGAAATAGTTAAACTAAAGAATGCAGGTTGTAGTATATACTTATAAAGACACTACTTTACACTCAGTGTGCAGAGTGCAGGTTCAGGCAAATGAGAAAAACAAGTCCATGAAACCGATTTAATGAAAGCCATCTACCTCAAAGACAATCCTCAAATACAATTTCAAACTAGATTTTCAGTAAACCGAAGCAGCAATAAAGTTAATATTTTTAATATTTCCATTTTACAGCACAGTTCTTTCATTTACTTAACAAGATTAGTCAGAGAACCAGTCTATACAGCAGTACACTGACTACAGCAATCCAGGTGAAGTACCTGGCTCAAAGGTACAAAAACAGCATTCCAGCCCAGACTTGAACCCACAACCCTCTAGTCATGACAACAAAACCTTTAACCACTCTATAAATATATACCCCTATAATACTGATATAATTAAATTTGAGGTTTAATTATTTCTGTTGTGTAATTCTTTCTTATTGTGCAATGAGGCTGGGGGAGTATGAAACAAGCTGCCCAGCCATGTTGTAGAAGATGATGCTCTGGCTTCCTTCAAGAAACAGCATGATAAGAACCTCTGAGCACTTAGCCATTAACTACCAAACAAGCCAGATGAGCCGAGCAGTCTCCTCTCATTCGTAATCTTATGTTCTAGTTATAAATAAAAGCCCAATAAATCAAAGCCTTTTTGTAATAATTTTCACAAAATATGATTAACAATTCACTCTGTTCACTACATTATAGAAAATATCTGTTAAATGACAAGGTCATTACAATCTGATCATGGTTTTGTGTTACAGTTTGACATAGGACGAGCAAATGCAATGTTCATCTGGACTTGCATTTATTTAAGTGAGTTAATGGAGAAATCGTGTTAATATTCAAGCACTGTGCATTTAATTAATTGGTGCCAAGGAACTGTTATGGCATTTACTATAACTATGGTGCATATAGCAGACAGAGGAACAAGCACTGGTAACATTCTGTGTTGAATTAATGCTGCAGTTGTATTACTAATATGACAGAAAGAATAACATTCTGTGAAATATTTGCCCCTTCTAGAAATATTTATTGGAATTGGACTTCAATTCATCAAACTGGCTTATACTCTTCCACAGGCACATGCAGCTCAGATTTCTAAATACATCGAGAGGTTTATTCATAATGGCTGAACTTTTATTATGGCTGTGTACAGATTCATTAGCCAGTTTTATAATATGTGGAATGATTTTGTTAAATAGTTAGGAAATGCTTTGGCTCATTAGAGCACCTTAACTCATATAACAATCATTTATGTTTGTTTTTTAAAGTCTGTATTAAGCAGAGCCTTACATCTGAAAGAATGTTCCTGAAGAATGTAAGTTGTGCCAAACCTAGGACTGCTGGCATTCCAGGAACTATGAAAAATACACATATGTGAAACCACAAAATTGGTAATTCTATTTGATGTCAATATTCTAAAAATATTAGTTTAGATTTGAAAAATAAAATGTTTTATAAGACTTTTTAGAAAAAAAAATAACATTGACATGAAATATCCTTGTTAACAGTAAGTGCCTGGCATTCATTGTTCAGGTATTAAGCTTAAAATATGCAAAGAGTTAAACAAGACACAAGGATGTGAAAGCTGCAGTAATAAAACAACAAAATACTTCTTTTCCCTTTCAAGATGTTTCTTTACCACATCCAAAACTCTGTGGAATTACAATACTTTAAGAGGTGTCATTGTGCATCATTAAAGTTGAATAAAAACAATCGAGCAGTTAATTGTTAAATAATTCTGTGGTTATTGTGATTCTAGATACAATTATGACACCTTGGGGGAAAAGAAGAAAAAACAGAAGGAGACGAGAAACCTTTGCATGTGGGGCAGGGCTGCGATGTCAGAATGAACAGGCAGTCTGCTGGAAAAAGAGAAGCTGGCAGCCTGAAATATGTAAAGGAGTTAGTAATAACAGAGTATGAAGCATTCGGTTTCAGGGAACACCCACACTGCAACTGAGTCTTTCCAAACGGAGCATTGTTTTGGAAGAGGTTGGTTTAATTGGCACCAAGGGATTCCACTAAAGGAAATACAGAACATTACAATCAAAGCATGTGCATGTAAAATGATCAAATATGATCTCTTCTCGGGTGGCAAGGTGGTGCAGTGATTAGCATGGCTTCCTTGCAAGGCTGGGGCCCTGGGTTCAATTCTGGAACTGGGGTGTTACGTGCGGAGTTGGTATGTTTCTCCCATGTTCGCGTGGTTTCCTCGGGGTGCTCCAGTTTCCTCCCACAGCCCAAAGACATACTGGTAGGTCAACTACTGGAAAATTTGGCCCTGGTGTGAATGTGTGTGCATGTCTGTGTGTGCCCCGTCCAGGGTGCATCCTGTCCTGTGCCTCTTGCTTGCCAGCATAGGCTCTGGCTCCCCCGCGACCATGTACTGAATACAGTGGTTCGAAAAATGGAGGGATTATCACTCTAAGTTCAAACGAATCACATGCAGCAACAGCATAAAGGGCAATGCCCTGTTGATTCCAGTTTGAGTAAACAGGCATCCCCTTCCCAGCTCAGCAGGCTGTGACTCTACCCAATTAAAAAAGAACTGCAGCACAGTCAGCATCACAGGATAGTACTCTAGGGGCGTTGGGCTTAAGCCACTTATAATTGTCATAATGATTATTTTATCCACAAACAATTAAGCTTAATGATGATAAGACACAGAGCTTTC